ATTAATACATGTTTACAACTTGATTCGGAATTAGGTCTTTATGCACGTCGGATTGCGTATGTCGAAATTCTCAACGAGAAACCAGGTGCAATGTCAATTCTATTAGGTGAAAAATTTTCATGGGCTTATAATCCAGATGATATTCGTTCTCGTTTGATTAGTTCGATTATTGCTTGTTTTATGATTGCTCGATATCGACTTCATCGCATAAACGAGGAACGGCTAAAAGAAAAAACAGAAAAGATTCTTCTTGAAGTTGGTGATCATTTACGTACAAACAATTATCTAGTTGGTAATCAATTCTCGGCGGCTGATTTAACATTCTGTTCTCTTATTAAACCACTTCAACGAGTATCCTGTTTCATAAATGATTATCGTTTTCGAATTATTTTCGAATATCAAGAACGAATTCGACGAGACTATGATCCTAAATACCCAAATATTGATAATTTTGTTGAAAAAATGGCCGATAAACATAGGACGCAAAAACAAGAAAATGAAAAACGCTTCTCGATCCGTCTATGGGCATTTCTTCATCAAATCAATTTTATTCAACGATTTTTTATCTGGTTTATGACCATGGTCGTGAACACCGTATACGGACCAGCAAGTGACGACGAAGAGATACCTCAATTCCAGAGATCATCATCATCATCATCATCACCGGGTAATCGAGAACAAGAGGCACTAAATGATCAACGACTGATTAATATCACGTCGATATGGTCAATGATCAAATTTCTCTTCAAATATCAATGCCATCTGTTATTTACTATTCCGAACCAAGCAGCCTATTTAAACAGAAAACTATAGTTATCGTTATTGCGTAGAGCAAAATCTTCAATCATGGACTTCAAAGTTTTTGGGTGGGGGTGGGTGTGGGTGTGTGGATATGTTTATTGTTTGCCACTTTTATAGTGGCATCTATGACTGATAGTGAATATGGAAAGTATAACCAATTGTAATAAATATTATAAAAATATTCTAAGGAAAAATTAAATAAAAAATTCATACAAAAATTACTTATAAAAGTACAGAACAAGCTCACATGTTCTGTCCTGTCTTGTCTTACCGTTCTGACTTTACTTGTTCTGCCATGCGGCAGGACAGCCGCTCCGTTCTCTGCTGTGTCCATCTCTGATTCCTAATACAAATTTAATGTAAATGGTTCACCCCTTGCTAAGGAGTCTCGGTCAAGATACAAGATGCATAGGTATAGGTATAGGTGGATGGAAACATATTTATGGAAATAGATTGAGAGGACAAATTAAGGACCTAGATAAGAACTGCCCATTCTCCACAGCTCTAAGACTCATATTTTTCGAAAAAATTCCAAAATTGAGTTTTTGTTGTAACAAGATGCATGAAAGTCTCCTCTTTCACTGTATGTGTTGCGTTTCAGGAAATAAGCGGCTTTTGATTGTTCTAACTGATTTTCTTTGTAACAATCCAGCTTTTTTCTAGGTTTTTCAAGAGTTTCATAGAAGTTCTCGCAGATTGTTAGAAGTTGTCTACAAAACTAATAGTAACATCGTGTTCAGCTTGTCAAGTTATCTTGGTATCCAAAATTTTCATAAGAAAATATGATCTATGTGATGCGTTGTAGAAGTTTTTCGAAGTACAGTAACACCTATAGTGATACTTACCTCCGTGATTAAAATCTATTCGCCTGTTTATCTGATGACCGAAAATTCTAAAATTTTATTTGGTACGTTTACTTCCACGAGTTCAACATTTGTAGAAAGTTTGAGGGAGATTCAACGCATTGTATCGATAATCGGTGTTGAAGCTCGGAGCCAGACTTAATGGAATAGGTTAATGACTTATATCAAGAGGATAGATTAAGGAAATAGATTAAGTGGTTGAATTAAGCAAATAAATTGAGGGGATATATGTAGATTTACAGTGATCAATGTAGAAGGATAGAATAAGGGAATACAGATAGGAGTATTGTGAGAGCAAGCGTATATGCGAGGAGATAGATGTAGTTTTAGTAGTATACGTATACATGGACGACTTGGTATAGGCATTAGTGGGGTTGGATTGGAATCCGTACGAAATTTTAAGTACGGAACCCTTTTTTAAGAATACTGTCGATCAACTTGATGCAAACATAAGACATTATTCATTATAGTTATTATAAAAAAGTACTTTGGAGACCGGTTCACCTGTTCTTGCTGCCTCGGTAAATTCCTTTTCTTTTTCTTTTTTATCAAAAAGTTTTTTTCCTGTCTGTGCTTAAATTTGTAATGCAGAGTTCTGATGAGTGTTTATATTTAAATAAATGATATCAAACGGATCTACGAAATTAACTTCGCATTTATCTTTATTTATTACTTATACAAAGGACATTATATTATCATTATATTGTTATTTGATTTTCGACTTAGTCAATTGCTAAAAAGCAAGAGTTGACAACAGCAGATTGATTTGTTTCATGGACATATAGGTTGGTCTGTTTTTCGCCTGATTTATCCACCTTATGGAGTCTCTTAAGCAAGATCTGAATGCCTCCAAGTTTGCTTCACTCATCAGTGAAGTAACGATATCTACTATTGCGATAGGGAAAGTCTTTGGAGAGTTTGTTGCGAAAGTTATAGATTATGCGTCATACTTTTGCTCTTCTCAATCATTTGAATGAATACTTAGTCAAAACTATGTAATGAGATTCATAAGCAGAGTTGAAACACGTCATACTTTGGTTGAGACATCCATCTTCAATCGCAATTTATATGAGTATAGAAATCATGAGACGAATAAAAAAAAGGTTACAAGAAATGTTAGTAGCACTAAGTAGAAGTTAAAAGCGGTGGATGAAACAAAAAGCATTCAAAGTAGGAGTTGCAACATTAACAAGTCTGTAAGAAAATTTCTAAATTGTCAGTGCCTTCGTTGATGACTGCGAAATCGAGCTTTTTATCATTGTTAAAATCACCAACGGAAACTGAGAACGGACGAGATCCATAATTGAACGAAAAAATCTCTACATCTGCGAAAGAGCCATTACCATATCCAAGCAATATGCCTACTTTATTGATACCATAATTGGCTACGATAATGTCTAGTACATTGTCGTTGTTGAAATCTCCAACAGCAACCACGTTAGGTTGAGATTTATCGCCTGTCGAAAACATCTTGTGACTCAGAAATGAGCCATTACCACATCCAAGATATACACCAATATAGTTATCTCCACGATTAGCAACGACGATATCAAGTATGGTATCCCGGTTGAAATCGCCAATTGCAACAGAGATTGGATTAGAACCAGTTAAAAATGACGTTTGATTTGTGAAAGAATAATTGCCATGTCCCAGAAAAATACCCACGTTGTTAGTGCCCGAATTTGCGACTACAATATCTATTTGACTGTCATTGTTAAAATCCCCAAAAGCAAACGATCTCGGTCGAGATCCACTGCCAGTTATGAGCGTCATTTGTTTTTCAACAACTTGATTGCGATATCCAAGAAGTACGCTTACACTCGGACTTCCCGAGTTACCAACAATGATATCCAGTCGGGCGTCGTTGTTGAAATCACCAACAACTACAGATTGTGGCCCAGAGCCAGTTGAATATGTCGTTTGTTTTGAAAAAGAGCCGTTCCCGTCTCCAAGCAATACACTTGCAGTGTTGTCATTCCAATTAGTAAAGACGATATCAAGTCGAGTGTCGTTGTTAAAATCGCCAACAGCTACAGAGCTTGGAACATTACTAGTTGAATATTGCTTTTGACTTGCAAAAGAGCCGTTCCCATACCCGAGAAATACATCTACACCGCCTGAATTAGTAACGACCATATCTAATCGGGTGTCGTTATCAAAATCATCAACGATTATAGATTGTATCTGAGAATCAATTGAATATGTCGTTTGTTGTCCAAAAGAGCCGTTCCCGTGTCCGAGAAATATACTGACAGCGGATTTATACCAAGTAGCAACAACGATATCCAATCGAGTGTCGTTGTTAAAATCACCAACAGCTACAAAGATTGTCATAGGGAGAGTTAACGGTGTCGTTTGTTTTGCAAAAGAGCCGTTCCCGTATCCGAGAAACAAACTTACACCGTCGAAATTAGCAACGACGATATCCAATCGGGTGTCGTCATTAAAATCACCGATAGCTACAGATTGTGGATAAGAACCAGTTGAATATGTTGTTTGATCTGCAAAAGAGCCATCGCCATATCCCAGAAGTATACTTATAGTGCTGTCATGAAAATTAGTAACAACGATATCCAATCGAGCGTCGCTGTTAAAATCATCAACAGCTACGGAGTATGGATAACCGCCAGTTGAAAATGTCGTTTGCGTTGCAAAAGAGCCATTGTCATATCCGAGAAGCACACTTACAGTCTTATCATTCGAATTACCAACGACGATATCCAATTGGTTGTCGTTGTTAAAATCACCAACAGCTACAAAGGATGGAAAAGTGCCAGTTGAATATGTCGTTTGTTTTGCAAAAGATGCGATATCATATGCAACAAGCACATCTATATTATCAATATCGTCAAATGCGACAACGATTTCCGATTGTCCGTCATTATTGAAATCACCAGCACCAATGAACAATGGAGCAAAGTCAGAACCATTACCATAGATATTTTGATTTTCAAACATTCCATTACCGTCTCCCAGCAATAACCCAACATTTTTAGTACCATGATTGGCCACTGCAATATCCGCTTGACCATCTTTGTTGAAATCACCAATGGCAATCGAATAAGGATGAGATTTTAAGCCCATTGAGAACATCATTTGGTTTCTAAAATTGCCATTTCCAAGTCCAAGAACGACACCTATGTTATTGGTACCATCATTGGCAACGACAATATCCAGTAGACTATCGTTATTGAAATCAAAAAAGTCAACACCTCTCAAGCGAGAACCATCACCAGATGCAAATGTGCTTTCGTTTGCAAGAGCTCCACTGTCATAACAAAGCAGAATACAAATATTGTGACCATCCAAACTAGCAACGACGATATCCGATCGGGTATCGTTGTTAAAATCACCAACAGTTACAGATTGTGGTATAAAGTCTGTTAAATATGTCATTTGACTGGCAAAAGAGCCATTACCATATCCAACAAGGACACTTACACTTGAACTCCCATAATTAGCAGTGACAATATCCAATAGAGTATCGTTGTTAAAATCACCAACAGCTACAAATTGTGGTGTAGAGCCAGTTAAATATGTCATTTGACTTGCAAAAGAGCCATTCCCGTATCCGAGAAGTACACTCACAGTCCCACCGTATGCATTAGTAACCACAATATCCAGTATGGTGTCATTGTTAAAATCACCGACAGCTACAGAGGTTGGATTAGTACCAGTTGAATATGTCTGTTGATCTGCAAAAGACCCATTGCTATATCCTAGAAGTACGCTGATACTCCTGCCATAGTTATTAGCAACGACGATATCCAATCGAGTGTCGGAATCAAAATCACCAACAGCTACAGAGATCGGACAACGACCAGTTGAATGTGTCCTTTGATCTGCAAAAGAGCCATTGCCATATCCAAGAAGCACACTTACAGTATTGCTGTAGTAATTAGTGACGACGATATCCAATTGTGTATCATTGTTAAAATCACCAACAGCTACACAGTATGACTCAGTGCCACTTGAATATTGTTTTTGACTTGCAAAGGAGCCATTACCATATCCAAGAAGTACCGTTACAGTGCTGCTATATCTATAACTAACGACGATATCGAGTAGGATGTCGTTGTTAAAATCACCAACAGCTACAGAGAGTGGATGACTGCCAATTGAATATTGCTTTTCACTTGCAAAAGAGCCGTTCCCATACCCAAGAAATACACTTACACTCGAACTCGCAAAATTAGTCACGACGATATCCAAACGAGTGTCGTTGTTAAAATCACCAACAGCTACGGAGGGTTGATAAGAGCCAGTTGAATACATCGTTATATTTTCAAAAGAAACCTCGTCATAACCAAGTAGGATACCTATGCTGCTTGTATCATTGTTGACGACGACAATGTCTAAACGTTTGTCTCTGTTAAAATCACCTATACCAACGGAGATTGTGGAAGAGGATCCAGTTGAATACAGTTTTACACTTGCGAAAGAGCCATTTCCATATCCGAAAAGTAGAGCTATATTGTTAGTGCCATTATTGGTGACGACTAAATCCATTCGGTTGTCCTTGTTGAAGTCACCGATGCCAATAGAATATGGAGAAGCAGCAGCGAGCGAATATGTCATTAGATCTACAAAAGTCCCATTGCCGTGACCCAGAAGTATGCCTACACTATTATTTCCATGATTGGTAACAGCGATATCGAGCATGGTGTCGTCATTTAAATGACCAACAACAATCGAGTATGGGCGGGAATTCGGACCAGTTGGGAACGTGATTTGATTTTCAAAAGTGTTGTTACCAGTTCCAAACATTATAGCGACGTTGTTTGTGCCATAATTGGCGATAGCAAGATCCATCTGTTTATCGTTGTTGAAATCGCCACTGACAACCGCAAACGGAAAAGAATCATAGCCGGTAGAGTACGTATTTGGTTTTGAAAAGCTTCCATTTCCATATCCATAAAAAACACTTACACTGTGTGTGCCGTAGTTAGCAGTAACAATATCTAGTGCTATGTCATTGTTGAGATCAACTACATGGATCCAAACAGGACGAGATGATGCAAGTGAAAGCGCTGTTTGGCTTGCAAAAGATCCATCTTGGAATCTAAGAAATATGCCGACGCTGTTTGTACCGAAATTTGCAACGGCGATATCTAGTCGATGATCGCTGTCGAAATCACCAACAGTGACCATGTGCGGAGCAGAGCCAAAACCGGTCGAACACTTGACTGGTCTTGTCACAATGCCAGTGCTATTTCCAAAATATATAGCTACATGGTCAGCAGCATAATTGGCAACAGCAATATCTTGCCAAGTATCATTGTTGAAGTCACCAATGGAGACAGATCGAGGATCATATTTATAATCAATTGGATTTGAGGTCGTTTGGCTGAACGTAAGTTTACATTGTGGGACTAAATAACGTAAGAACAAAAGCTAGAGATTGATCAGTTACTCCCTTCCAACTATTCTTAGTAAACTGTAGCAATTTTCTATGGCTCTGATCGTTGGATTCTTGCAGCTGAATATGAATGAGTATCAGTACTTTTCAATAAAAGCTCGTTGAGTCTCGCGAAGTTCATGATTCACATCACTTATCGTGTGTTTTCTTTCATATACTAGAGAATCCTTTTGAGGAACGACATAGTGACTAAGAGAGAACAGACAACGCAACTAATATGATGTAAGTAAGGACCATTGACTGGTTCTAACTACATAGTTTAAACCACTTTCGTTTCAACCTTAAAGGCTCTTCTGTGACATGGCCTCGGGTGCAAATATACTACAATAGCAAAATTTCAAGCCCTTTCGATATCAAAAGAATGCCAGCAATGTTGTGTTGCAATAATCCATTAATTGCGTCATAAATATTTTGCATTGATAATTAACAATAATAATCAGAATATAACAAGTATTTCAATGGAATTGGAAATATACAATGGATATTACAATAAATAATTATTAACAATTTTCGCCTGACAAATTGAGCGATTATTCATTTTCGATGTCGCCTATCTAGATCTGTGACTCCCTATTGTCTCAGCATACTGCACTGTTATGATATGGCCTCCATAGTTGTATGATGATCTTTATTTTTGTAAACAACGAGGTGACTCCTACATTCTCATTTCTCATCCTCAGATTATGGCAGATAAATATAGTTATTTGAAATTTTTGGAAATTTGAACGAAAAATGCGTGCCATTCTTCTTCAGATGATCAATTCGCAAGGATTACTTGTGTATTGAAACTCGGTGAAGGCAATTGAGTTCTCTTGCGAATTCATTGATATCTTAAAAGAGACATGCACGTTTTCGCTCAAAGCTTCAAGATATTCTAATAACTATGAGACATAAAGGAGTAAAATATCAGCACGAAATATCATCATTTGACTTATTAATGCACGATGGCCTATAGGGAAGAAACATCATTATAACAGGTATAACTTAAGATAAAAATTACCTACACGAAGGAGTCTCGCCAACTGATATCTTCTGTTGGAGTTCAAATTATGCTCATTGGCTGGGTCCATAGAACAGAGAAAAGCTTCAAAAGAATTCACCCTATTGCCGCTTTTTTCCTGAAAAACGACCATAACAAGTATCTTTGATAAGAAGATTACTGCATTTTCTGTAAAACATTTTTTTCTTATTTCAATAAACTAATATTGCCATGAGCTGGTTTACTACAAACTTATTCTACGCATTGTTACTTATTGTATAAAAACAAAAGATTATTAACTAGGGTATAGGTGTGGATGCGTGAGTCAGGAGAAGAGACACATTTACATCCTCACTTACAAACAACACCAACGAACATTGACACAGTCACACCTGCCAAAATAGTCGTCTATGGATTCTAATGGTAAGATATCCTCTAAATCTTGATAATCTAATTCATCATCATGATTCAATCTGGTTTCTATTGCAAATATATGCGATGTACTTTTCAAAATGAAATTCAAACATTTACTGGAATTTAATGCAATGTGTTCTTCATGAGAATTGATTGAAGATGGTCAATTATAGTATAATTCACCTGATGTACGTTTTAATAATACTGTTAAGACGTTGTAAGGATTGCGCATTTTTATTGTCGAGATACGTGAACAATGCTTAAACAAAAATTTACTTACTATTTGTTCACTTTGTGGAGGTTGTCGATCACTAAGCAGTTTTTAGTAAGAAAGAAGTATCATCTTATCACATTTATAGGATGTGTTATTGTTTCAAGTAGCGAAAACGGAAAGAATTCGCTAGAACGTAATAAAGAGAAGGGAACTCACTAGAGAACATGAGAGATAATATATATGATAGATATAGAAAGAAAGAGAAAGAAGAGGAAGGTATCTGAACATCATAGAAAAGAAGACATATATGTATTCAGGTATGATAGCAGAATGAAAGAATATGTATTTGGAATACAGATATGGCGACGTCACAATAATAATAGAAAGAAAGAGATGATTCAGAAATGATGATCAAGAGCATGTAAAAAAGATGTATCGCGTAGAGAAGAAAGGTTTATTTTCGCTACATTCTATAAGAAAATCATTTGTATCTTTTCTCTTATTGTTTCACATATCTATCATGTCGGAAAGACACATAGATAAGATAGACAAAAAAAGCTTGTATAAGCTGCTGTTTTCGTTCAGCGATCTTAAAAATACTATAAAAAAATAATAGAAAAAGTACTTTGAGGTATTTTCTTCTTCATCTGTAAAATACTGAATACGATAAAGTTGATCCTTCAGCAATAGGAAACAACAAAGCTTAAGATGAGTTCATAAAAAACCAGCTCGTGAGCAATGTTCCTTTATTGAGATATGCAAAACAAAATTATTGAAATCACAATAATCTCCTTTTTAGAGAATCTTGTTATGCTTGTTTTTCTAGAACAACGCGGCAATGGGATAAATCATTTGGGAATTTCTCTCTACACTATGAGTCGTAATAACGAGTAAAATATGAGCTGAAATAGAGGGTAAGAGTTGGTGACGTTCTTTTGTAAGAAATCATATCTTTCCTGTCGTTTTATAGTTTCATTGAGTCTGACTAATAGACATAGTATCAGCACTATTAGTGATGATCATTTTGACTGGTTCGCTTGCCAATGATAATTTGAAATTGAAAAGTGAAGAAACTATAATGCTTACAGTTCTATCCTCAATTGCTGATTTTCTTCGACCATATTGATATCAAACATTATTATAATTTGATGCTTTTTAACCAAAAATTCATAATACTGATAAAAAAAACTATGAATCTCATTGCGGATCTTTATCACATTGAATACGAAGAATGTAAAACAAGGACATACCTGATGATTTTCGTGCAGTAAAACAAACTACCAGTATACCGGCGATCATAGCTATACTTGTGATCATAGACAATAAAAAGACAGGATTAGTACTTAAATTCAGCATTGACCAGAAGCGATATTTCCTAGGAAAGAACAACAACGATCATATTAGACGTCAAAAAAAAGGCCATACATGATCTGTCGAATCGTGTAAGTTTTTATTGGATTAATAGTGTTGTTGTTAACGTTTATTGCATTTTGTGCATTCGAAATTGATTTTACCGC